TAGTTTTGGAATTTAGATTGAATAGCAAGTGTGATCATTCAGTCTTTTACATACAGTCGGCGGTTGGATGATTGTGCAAGGATTTCTTCTCTCAAGAAGTTTTTAAATGCCAAGTTTCATACCGGATACAGACTTGGGGCAGTTGAAATACTTCTTCAGTGTAGACGTAGCAAGAAGCAAGAAAGGGTTTTTTTTGTCCCAAAGAAAGTATGTACTTGACCTACTTGTAGAAATTGAAAAGTTGGGAGCCAAGACGTGTGGCACACTAATGGTTCCTAATGTATATCTTACTAAGGATTATGGTGACCCCTTTGATGATCTGAAAAGATACAAAAGATTAGTTGGGACCTTAAAGAACCTTATGGTGACCTGTCTAGATATTGCCTATGCAGTCAGTATTGTCAGAATCAATAGTCAAGCATTAGGCAGTCTTGATCTTGTGCTATTTTAAAGGAGCTCCTGGTCTTGGCATATTGCATATCGATCGGGACATACTCGTATTGAGTATTTTGCATATGTTGATTGGGCTGGATCGAGAATTGATGGAAGATTTACTACTGGCTACTGCGTCTTTGTTGGTGGATACCTGAGACCTTGGAGGAGTAAGAAATAAAATGTTGTACTCCCTCTGATTCAATTTAAATGATGTAATTTGACTTGGCACAAAGTTTAAGGAAAAAAAAAAGAATTTTGAAACCTGTGGTCCTAAAAGCTTAAGTGGCAAATATAGGGCCATGACATTTGTGTGGCTGTAAAAACTTTTTATTAAGGGTAAAGTGGGTAAAATGAAAAGTTCAAAGAATTGTTTCCGAATATAAATATGTGTCATCCTTTTTGGAACGGACTAATAAGGAAAATGTGTCTTTTAAATTGAAATAGAGGGAGTATCTCGATTTAGTGCAAAATCCGAGTATATAGCTATGCCTCAATCTAACATGTGACATACTATGAATATATCACCTTTTAGCCGAGGTTGATTTGAAGCTTTTGTTTCCCACAAAACTTTAGTGTGTAATCAGGCTGCTTTACACATTGCCGCAATTCCAGTTTACGTGAATGGACAAAACACATTGAAGCCGACTGTCACTTTTTCCTTGAGGAGATTCAAGAGAACATGATTTCTACACGCGATGTGAAGACAAGAGAGCAATTGAGTGATATATTCTTGAAGGTTTTAAATGGAACTAGGGTGGAATATCTTCGTAATAAGTTGGGCATGATTAATATCTATGTTCCAACTTGAGGGGAAGTGCTACAGAATGTACAGTGACACATCTTCATATTGTACACATAATACAATCATAGGATTTAGGGATTTTCTGATTTTGTTTTCTTAGATAGATTTACTTGTACACCTACAAATAACTCTCATTCTTGGAGTGATACTACAAGGAAATTGCTCCATTGTCTCTGTATTTTCAAGTTTTAATTTGTGTTTGTTCCTTTGGGAAATAAAAGAAGGGAAGGAAGAAAAACTTTTGAAAGGCCTATTCTTCTCAACTTTCCACAGGGTTTAAATTAAAAACTTCATGAGCCAAAGATGATTTAATACTCGGTATTTTCCTAATTTTGGGAGCATATCTTTTGACCCATTTAGAGACATCATCTATAGTCGAGGGAAGATTCTATATGTCGAAATCGGCGGAGTCTCCATGTCAGGGAAGAGAGGTAGAAAATCAGAAGAAACCAGAGGAGAGATTTCCTGCACTTTCAATAGTTGGAGATTTTTGCAGTTTTGCCCATTCTCGAATTGGAAGGAGCATTATAATGTGGGCTAACCGGAAATACTTTTGTAGATGAGTCTAAGTTGCTGATGGCTTGTCAGGCGGATTAGATAGAAAAGCTAAACTGGTTTTTGTTTGGGAGAAGTCATTGAGTGAGACCTAATCAAAAGCATAAGGCGCAATCAGGGTTTGAGATAAGATGAAGTGGGCTTCACCGACAGGTAGATCCATGTAGTAAATCATGGCGCACATGAACCCATGCTACTTGCTAGAATCCTGAAAAAGTATGTACATATTGTGTTTAAAATGGATATATATCATATTGTGAACCCATGTTCATGGCGAATTAAACAGTGCACTGATTTAGCTTAGGTCATTAAAGACTCGCTCATATAATTAATCACTATTAAAGATCTCTTTGTGAAAATAACCCTCATTTTACATTTGCGACCCTAGTTTTTATCTCCTTTGCTTTTGTTTCTTCCTGAAAAAGCTAAACTCAATTGGCACCTTTTTTTAGAGAAGTTTAATTTTCATCAGATAATATATTTTGTCTGTCCCAATTTATTTGACATTTTTTTCGCTTTTAGCTAGTCCCCAAAAGAATAGACAATTTATTTAGTTACAATTTAACTTTAAACTTCTTATTTTACTCTTAATGAAATGATTAAAAGCCACACAAATTTTTATAATTTGTTTTAGGCTATATTTCAAAAAAATTCATTTCTTTCTTAAACTCCGTGTATAGTTAAACACACTCACATAAATTGGGACAACTGGAATAATTAATATATGCGCCTATGTGACTTGTTAAGATTTTATTTCCTAATGTTGCTTCTAATTTTACTTGATCGATTGAATTGAAAGAAAAATCAAACTATCTTGGGTCAATGATTAGTTTGTTTTATATGGATCAACAACTTAGTAACTTGAGCGAGCTCAAAATCAACCGAACTGACCGGATGTACGTTCATATATTTGTGGCTTGTGACATGTCTATTTTAAAAAAGAGATAATGGTGCACCCATGGTTTTTAAATCCTGAATTCGTCTCTATACGCAGATGGTTGAGTTAGGCTAGGGATCAAGCTCGCCTTTTTGATGCGAAGCGACAATTTATACAAAAATATAAAATATTATATATATATATATATATATATATATATAGCTAAAAACTCAATAACAATAATAATATATTAATAAATATATCAATTCAAAAAAAAAACAGAGCCTAAAAAGACACTCTTCTGCCTCTGCTGCTTGCTCCAAACAGAGCCAAAAAAAATAAGAGAAGAAGAAAGAGGAAGGGAAGAAAGAGCCTCTGCTCTGCTGGTCGAAAAACAGAGCACAAAAAATAAAAGACAAGAAGAAGAAGAAAGAAGAAAGAAGAAAACAAGAAGAAGACAACAATGGTTGAAGTCGAACTGTCGAAGAAAAAAGAAGAAGAGACAACAATGGTTACTGTCGCTGAAATAGAAGAAGAAGAAGAAAGGAGAAGAAAAAGAAAAGAAAAGAAAGAAACATACCTGGGTTACTGTCGCTGATGGCTGAAAATGAATCCCAAGCCCTAATTTTTCTGTTGCTAAGAAAAGGTCACTGAAGGACAAGAAGTGAAAAACCCAAGCCCTAATGTTTTAAAGTGTTTGCGCCTTTTTCTTTCTTTTTTTCAAATAGCGACGCCACAGCTCGCCTCTCGCTACACATGCAGAGGCGCTCGCCTTTTACAATCGCAACGCAGCAGAGCCAAAATAGCGCAGGCTACTCGCCTCGCCTCGCCTCACGCTATTAGCGCTGAGGCGAGCGCTATTTATAACACTGGGTGGAGGGTCTAGCACTGGTGAGTGGTAGGAAACAAGAAAGAAAATGAAAAAAGAAAAAAAATAAAGAAAATGAAAAAAGAAAATAAGAATTGGATCAATTTTATCAAATTTGGAGCGTTGAAATAAAACATTAGTTATGCATTTTTTAGTCTTCACATGCCTCATTTTGTTGGTAATACATGTGCGGACCACGTGGGCAAAGTAGTGTGTGTTAGATACACATGGGAAATATTTGGTGTGTAAGAGGTTTCTTGTGTTTGTGAGATATGTCAAAGGGATTTGGCCTCAAGCTCAGAGGGCAAACTATATATTCTGCCTTACTTTTAATATTCACTTCACGACATGCATAAACACCCCATAAATATCAATGCACGGTCCTTACAAAAAAACATCAAGGATGTACATGAGGTGAATCAATGCATATGTTGGTGTATACAATATACCATAATGATTTCAGGTCCAAGGATCACATATACAACTTCCACATTAATAATTATTGACAAGCTAGTCAGTATCAATTAAGATTCTCTCATGCGAATCAAACAACTCAATGAACTCATTTTCCTTTGAGCCCCCAATTTTTTATTTTCTTAGTCTTTTCTATATTTGGTACGTGATGGAAAAGGTGTTGATGATTCCATTCTTATAGCATTTTCTTATATACTTATTTCGTGATTCTATTGAACTTTTTAAATACTTTCTTCATCCTTTTTGCAACCTAGATTTTTAGTAATTATGCAGTAGATTTTATACCCTTTGTCTTCCCTAGTTCGATAGTATTAGTGTTAGTACGATACCCTTTTATCCTTAGTTTGCTATTATCGTATTTCTTGTTTTGTTATTACTTGCCATCGGTACTTCCTTAGTTTGCTAGCAGTACTTCGTTCATATTCTCGTTTGCTACCTTGGATTTAGTATTCTAAATATATTGTCTTGTTATTACTTGTTATCGGTACCTCTTTCATATTCTCTGTTGCTATTTTCGATTTAGTTTTCTAGTTATATTATCTTGCTATTACTTGCTATCAGGGCTTCTTTTACCTTCTTTAACCGAGGGTCTACCGAAAACAGTCTCTCTGCCTTTCCAAGGTGGAGGTAAGGTTGCGTACATCCTACCCTCCCAGACCCCACTTGTGGGATTACACTAGGTTGTTGTTGTTGTTATGCAGTAGATTTTATAATTTCATATAAGTGTGTAATTTTCATCATATGAACCTCTAGGATCAGATATGTAATTTACTATAAAAGCAAGGGGTTTTGCGAGTGATCTGTACCTTACTTTTGCCGATTTCAGTTTGGTATTTTTGGCCTTTGTCAATTTGGCAAACCATGATTCTATTTGTACATTGTACAGGAACTCGTGATTAATTGTGTTCTCACCCTTTCTTTATATAATGTGATACCATGCGTTAATTATATGATGGAAAGGCTAATAGAATCTTTTTGTTTTAATTTAGGCATTGATGCAGATGAGAAATTGGTATATTCGCTTTCCAACAATTTTACAAGTTTGTGAGTGTGTTATTGAAATGCTTAGAGGACAGTATGCACATTGTGTCGGCTGCTATGATGAAGCAATTTGTCATTTCCTTGAAGCTTCAAGGGTATGTATAAATTTGAATCCATATCAAAAGTATCTTCCCGTAATTTTTGGTAAGAGTATAAATCAGCTGTGTGCTTATTGTTTTTTGGGATAGAGATAAGATAGTTACACTATTCTTATATTCCTTTTCCCTCGTGTGGAGTAAACTTAACCAACAACTGATTTATGGAAGACAGATTATCTTGAGTTATGCATCTGGATTTATGCTTCTTGATGCATATGGACTTCTTTGCATCCTACTGCTGTAGGACAGAAGTGTAATATCACAAAGTCTGACTGTTCAAAAACTCCAATGTAAAAGGGAAGTACGGATATTATAAAGAATTTAACTGTTGCGTCTTGCTTGTGTCATATAAAAGATGATAACAAATTGCATTTTGATCATAAGAGGTAACTTATAATTTAATTTGAGCTCAAAAAAGTATCCTGATGAAAAAAGACTGAGCTACTGATAAAAAAAGTATTTAATTTGAGCTCAATTGTGAAAAATTGCTTGTACAGTGAATGTTTAGAAAAGAAGTTTGAGAAACTGCTTGGAAGTTCTCTCACTTTTAAAAGGTATATCTAAGGATGAATTAGATTGAACTCCTATTAACACATTGGTGTCCGCACTAATTGGAGAGATGAGGAGAAGTTGAAAGTTAATGCTCTTATTTGTGCAAGGGTTTGAGGTACAAATCCTGGGAGGAGGTTTCTATAGGGCGTTGTCTTGTTCGTCGGTCTCAACAAGTTCTCTCATCCTTCAGTCTTGAATAGATACTAACCAGTGTTTGTGGAAGTTCTTGGAGAATACCACATGTAAATGCATCAACACCGTTAAAATAAAGTTGCCTTCTTCACTTCAGCCGGTTTATTTTCTCCTTTTTTCACTTCTACCGGCTTGGTCAAAGATTCCATTTTTAGTACTTCTATTTCTGTGGATAGTTCTGCATCTGCTTGATGCTTCTTTAAGAAAAAGNTGGATGGCTTTGATTTTTGATGGGTCTAGCTCGATGCCTCATCGACTGACTATGAATCCCAGCAGCTTTCCAGATGGAACTCCAAATGCGCATTTGGTAGGGTTAAGCTTGAGGTTGTACCTTCGAAGTCTTAAGAAGAATTTCCTCAAATCCCCAACGTGGTC